ATTATTTTGTATATTATTACTACTTTGTGAGCAAAATACATTCCAGTGTTTACTGGGATCTGGTGTGGGTATATGTAAATAGAGGCAAATAGGTGAAAATGCATGATGATTATCTCTCATTTGGCAGGAATGATTTCCATTATCTCAGCAAAATACTTTGTTTTCCACTCAGTCTTCCAAAATAACGCACCTCCCAGCTCCCAACAATGAGATTAAATAACATCATTTTTTTTATCTCTGAGTGTCCTAGTTTATAGCTTTCAGATATTATTAGGTTGTACATTACTCTAGATGTAGAGGGAATGACGCGATTTCTCTATTGAGAGAAATTTGGAGTAATTTCAATAGTATGTTGAACTCTGATGCAGAATTGGCAACTCTGTAATGTTATCTGCTACACAAATTGATTGCACTTAATGGTAGACTCTATGGTACTTTTTCTTGCGGTACTGATCAGTACTGACCTGGCTGGGCACATGTCTAGTTGTGTTGTTTATATATCCATCACAACTTACGTTAATTATCTGTTGATTTTAACTATTTCTCCTTATTTTTTGCACGGTGCTTCATGGAGAGAAGCTCATGTTTCAGAGAGTTTAATCTGCCATGCTGGCCTACAGGAATGTATTTGGCATATTAACTTTCTTTTAACAGTCGTGTTTAATATATACAGAGAGCATCTAGCTCTGAGAGACCATTTGAACGTCTTCAAAGAGTTATTGAATTGTTTATTGATCTACTTCATTACTGATGTTCTTCTGGTTCCTTTTGATGTCTTGTCACTTTGTTCAAAATATAATGTCAGGGTTTTAAATTAATAGTTGTGCAGGAAGCCCTACATGTGTAAATATTAGGGTATGTTTCTCCTTTGAGTAAGAATGTGCTAGATTGTCCAGTAAATATTGCTACCATCAGGTTTTGTCCTTTTTCATGCCCCTCCATTCACACAAAGACTCTTTCCTCTCTTCCTCTTAAGAAAACTGAAGTGTCTGAGGTTTTATCTTTTAAGTTTTATAACAGTCTAATCTCTTATTCTGCCATTGGAAGCTTACAGACTAGTTCTCTGCTTAGGAAAATAAATTTGATTAATTTACCCTCCTCCCCTTTAATCTTTTTCATGTGTCTCTCTTATATTTGTTAAATTCATGAATTAAAAGTGCTTGCTGATTATTTTTTTTTTCCTTTCATTAATTTATTTAATCACTTTTTGAAGCTTTTTAAGCTTCTGGAATGGATGACGTCCCATGGCAAGGAGTTCCATAGTTAGAATATTGGTTACTTGGAAAAGTGCTTCATTTCTAATCCTGCCACCTGAATATTCATTTGTGGGGTTTAATAGGTTTTATTTAACAGTGACTAATAATTATTTATTTATTCCCTTGAAGCCATGCAGGATCTTAAATGTATTTGCCATATCCTGCCTCAGTTGCTTCTTTTTCCAGCGTTAAGATTATAGCTTGTCTGCTTACTCCTTGTACAGAAGTTGTTCCTTATCTTTGGTCATGGGCATCTTAGTATCTCTTCTGTTTCCAGATTTTGCATTTTACTTGGGTCTTCCAGTCCATTGGTTGGTTGTCTACCCTTAGTGAGCACCCACAGCAGCAGCAGGAGGTTACCTGCTATCAGATTAATTTTTGTGATAAGACAACACAGAAGTGTGTTAAATGGCAGAGTGAGAATCCTGCTGGTTATAAGGCAGGCTCAGAACTGTTTCATTAATAGGTGCAGCTTCTGCAGGTGAACATATGAATGTCAACAGGGCAACCCTGCTTGTTTGCACTCTTCCAGCTTCAAGCCCACCTCCCATTCCCAGCCACTGTTTTCCCCCTGTCCTCAGCACGCAGCTCAGCGAGTCGCTGGCCAAGTGTGTGTCATGGGTGTGCTGAGTAGCCGAATCACATAAATTAGCCTGTTCGAGTTAACAGTTGCTGCTGGCTGAAAAGATAAAGGTTTGTGCCACGAAGCTGTCAGATTCATGTATTGCTGATGTTCATCGTGTGTAACACTGGTCAATTTTTATTTTCTTCTTTTTTAAAAGAAGCCCCAGCTCGCTCCTTTATCTCTCTTCCCCCACCCAAAATGGTGGGAATAAGCTGCTATATTGTAGAGGTGGGGGAAAAGGCTCTTAAAATATTATTTAAGTTGCAGAACATAAGCTGTTACATTAGAAAGGGCCAAGATCAAGATTACCTGTGAATGTTAGATTTTTCCCTCTTTTGTGCATGCAGCACTATCAGTCTTTAAGGGCTTGCATACTGTCTTTTCTGCAAAACTGCAGATATTTCAACAATACTAGAAATATTGTGAAATCATAGAGTACAGCTAGGTGTATTTATTGATGAGATTTCTTTTTTTCCTGCTAGGCCTACCCTTTCGTTGTTGTATTTCAGTGTGTAGCTTGACTACAGCGCTTCTGTTTCCCGTCCCATTGTAAGCCGTATTTCCTTACCTTTTGAAAACCTACTTCAAATGTAACTGGATAAAAAGCATCAGAGAAAACCATGTTAGGAAGGGAAAAGGGTAAGCAAATCCTCAGCTGTATGGAGCTGCCAGTAATGTTCAGAAGCTGACAAAGGTGAACTGCTCATCTAAACATAAATTGTCTTCTGAATCTAGATGCTTCTTGTCTTGTGAAACAGGGTGTACTGTACTCATTAATTTTGCTCCTTCTAAAATATTTGGTAATCACATCGTTTGCTTTGTGTGGCATAAGGCTCTTAACAGCCACGTTTCACTTTGCAGTGCATGAAGATGGGGAGTCTATAGAGTGTCCATTCTGCAATGACATTAGGAGTTAACTGTAGCCCAGCCTGGTGTTTTGTCATCTGCCATGTGTTTTACAGTGAAAACATTGAGGATCAAATGCTGAAAAATTGACAGGTTTCCACTGAGAGAGATTTTAATCTTTTCCATTGTTTACATACAGAAGTTGAGGACTTTGCTGTGACACTTTACTAAGATTTCAAACAGCAGCAAAAAAATCCTCTCTTGGAAAGAAAATGTATCGTGTAGGCTGTTTGTCGTTTTGAAGTTAAAACATTTTCCCACAAGAGTATTTGTTGTTTCAATAGGGAAAAGCTCTTGGATTTTTTTGAAGTGGTTAAGAATCCAAAAAGTCAATAATATGTATAAAATGTATAATAAATGCCCACTTCTGTGCATTTATTCCATGATACCCTGTCACACAGAGATAGTGCCTTTGCATAGACTGAAAACCATCATTTCTATTGAGAGGGTTTGGTTTTGTGGTGGTTTGCACTGCCCCATAAAAAGATCATTGTTGCTATTTAAAAGTTGTCAAATCTGTATTTCTGATTATGATTTTTGTAAAATATCTTCACAAAAGAAAACCCATGAAGAGAATAGGTACTGTGCTGCAGGAAATCTTCTCAGGACACAGCAATACAAAAAACTTGACACTTAAGTCTCATTCTGCTTTGCTGGTCACATGAGATTTAGTTCTCTTAATTTTACGTATTTCATTTCAGAGCGTCATTCTCTTTACCTGGAGGAAAGGAGCATTTTCTGACAGCAACTCTTCTTTTCTCTTCCCCATCCTTCCTGACCCCTGGGAATTGTGCACTGTTTGCCCATTAAGTTAGACCAGAATATTCCTTCCTGCATCGTGTGGGGCGTTTCAAATGAGGGATGTGTCCTGAAGGAGGAGAGATCCAAGTCATAGCAATGGGTTAACATAGTCTTCAGAGTCAACAAAGCTGTACACTGGGACTAAGAGGGAGTCAGCCCATTGGCATCTGAAGGCACAGCTTCTGCTGTCTCTCTATTATATCATTCAGATGACTTGCAGACTTGACAGACTAAAGAAGTTGCTATCATGACCCTTGCGCTATATGCAGTCCACAGTTTTTATTTTGGGCTACGTTTAATTTGCTCCCCAGGACTAAACAGTCCCACTGCACCTGGGGTTCAAAGCTGAAGGACTGCTTGTTAGTTCAGACCTGCCATGCTGAGGGATGAAGGATTGGAGCAGAGCTTCAAGTTCAGTTTCCTCTCAAAAAAAGTGTGGTTGCATGTGCCAAAACTGCTCCACACACAGAACCATCACACATGGGGGAGAGCTTTAAAACTATGCTATTGCTCCGAGGTAAAGTGTTAATACAGACACAGCCTTTATTAATTTTAAAAGATCTCTTGCCCTGATCTTCCTGGTGATAGTGTTCAGGATGATAGTCTTCAGTATTATTCTGTGTCTTTGGCTAATCGAAGCTGCTGCTGTTAGCTCCTGCTCTTTCAGGTTTCATTATTTGAAGTCCACTGACTTAAATCCATTGTTTGTATTGAGAAAGAGGGAGGAAAAAAGAAAAAAGACTTTGGGGTTGTATTTTTCTTTTTTTTTCTTTTTCCAGTATTGTCCCTGTCAACATGCCACAGTTTCATCTGAAACAAGGGATGCATGAAGCTTTTCAGTCTGGGTTTTGTTTCCCTGTATTTTTTATCTTTGTTTAATTTGCTGACTGGCAGCTGGAAAATCACTTAATCAGCATATCTGGCCCAAATACTGGGCTTGACTTGAACATACTGACAGTGTCTTGGCTCGCGCACAACTGAGACTAGTTTGAATTCTTGTTCTGTGGTCTGTATAGGTAACAGTGATGGAACAAGACAATAATAGTCTGAAGGTCTTGTTCCTTTCCCAGCTGTGCCGCCGTAGTCAAACCCCAAATGCCCGTTTTGATCTTGTGTGTAACCTCATGTAGCTTTGGAGATTCACTTCTGACTTACAAGACCCTCTGTGGGAAGAGGAGCAATTCTCTACTTCCACTGCTCAATTTTCAGGCTTGTGTTTGAGTCCCTTCATTCTTTTGCTCCCTCTGAAGCACCAGTGTATTGGGTTTATTTCTGTGACCTGAGGAGCTGCTGAGCAATGTCGCCACATTGGGAGTTCTGTTTGGCCAACACAGAAAGCATCTTCTACCTCTCTGAATCCAAGTACTATTGTTACAAGAACAAAAATTAACTTACTATGTTATTTTTTCCAGGTATTCCACATCTGCATTCTCCAAGCTAAGCAAAGTAGGGATCCGACATCCTCCACCTCTTCCTTTCATTGGAAACCTGCTCTTTTTCCGTGAGGTAAGATACGGTTTTCTTCATGTCTATGAAAGTGATGGGAAGAGTGGACAGGAGGTAGGAGGAATTGAAAGGAATCCTACACTTCAACGGTACTAGCTCTTCAAGCTTCTCCTTCTGGGAAGAACAAGCAAAACAGCTTTTTGAGTGAATTTGTAGAAGTTGCTGTGTGTAAGCAGCTCTAATTTCAGGGTAAAATAAACTTGAGGGAAAGAAAGTGTGTAAGCTCCCGCAGTTAATTACATGAGCTTTTCCAAGAAAGTTCATGCCCTCAGTGAATCAAACTTAGTTATATGAATAGAGCAGATTATGTTAACTAGCCCCAACCAGTTTTTTCCGAGTGGTTTTGGCTCCTCTGACCTTTCTGTTTGTTTGTGCTTTTGCTGATTGTAGACATTTATTTTGAAGTTTGTAATGTTGCTTGCTCCTAAGCAGCAACTGGAATTAGGTACCACTGAACATAGTTGAGCCTTTGCTCTGTGTCCCTAGTGTTGCCTTCTCAGATTGGGAGGGAGGAGAAGTGCCGGAATTCTGCCTCCAGATTTCATTCCCTTATTTTTCTCAGCTATCACCTTTCATTAGTTTGCTAATGCTGTGTTTTTGTTCCTTGCACAATTTCAGTAATGCTTCTAAGGGCCCAAGATCTCTTAATAACAAGGAGCTGCCATTTCTCTGGTTGAATCTTACAGTAAGACCTTTCTTGTGCGTTGCTCTTGCGTTCCAACAACTTTTCAGGAAATCTAGACTAACTCCAGCTGCTGCCCAACTTCCTCTTTTAAGTGCCTGGTCATCAATATCCATGCTGAGATTTGAATTATTAATGAGAATATAGTGCCTCTTACCTTAGTCTTCATGGTGATTGTTCTGTCAATATCTGACTCATTATTAGATAAAACACATTTAAATACCAGTTTTACATGTACATCTGATTTCATTTAGAAAATAGCATAAAAGGTAGACTTGATCTGCTCTTTATTAATCTGAACTGGAATTGACAGGGTGACTTTTAACATACAGACGATGCTGTTGGTATGGAACAGACCAGCTTGCTGTTCTAGTTTAAATTCAGCTGGATGGCATGAAGTTACTCGTTCTGTAGCTCTTTAGTGACAAAATCCAGTTATCGTTAGTCACCTGCTAACACTTGCTGTAGGAAAAGGTGTCTGGAGGCTAAGTTACTTTGATGTGTTGCAGATAGGCTTGCCTTGTACCAGCATGCAACTGGAAAGTTTTTGAGAACTGTTATCTCAGTTAGGCAACTGTGATCTGTTAGGCAAATGTCATTACCAGCGTTGCATTCACTTAAAGGCAGCTAATGAAGAAAAGATAAACTTGATTTTATTAATTTTAGGAAAACAACATAAAAATTGAAGGTAGCTGTGAAATTGCACCTTGGAGTAAGAAATAATTCCAGACAGGGTTTTTAAACAGAGTTGAGTGATGCAAAGCTACAAACCTCACCATGTTGTATGTCCAGCACTACAATATTTCACTGTCTGTCTTCCCTACAGTCCTAACGCCGCCAGTAGAAACAGGCAGGGATGAGTCCAGGCTCTTTGTAATTTTTCTTTCTTCCCTCACATATTTTGCCATGTTTCCTGGATCTGCTCCTATGGCTGCTTTCTTAGAAATAGTGCCCATAGCAACGCGCTGGTAATGGGGGGGCTGCTTTTATGCTGCTGGCTGTTCTCTATGAGAGCATTTTCAGGGACACAAGTGCTCTCACTGCAGTCAGTAGAGGACAGCTTCCACTTTCCCTTCCCCAGCAGGGGAGAACCATCACCATCCTGGGGATGGGGATGATTTTAAGGGCTTAGCTGTGAGGGGACCAACTGTGCAGGAGAAGTTTGTTGATGGCTGGGGTTACCCTTTCCATAGGAAGTAGCAAAACACTGATTTGTTCTGTCGCTACTTCTATAATGTTAAGAAGTTCTTGTGGTTGCATGTTCACGCAACCGTGTCTTTTCACTGAACTGGCTTTTTAGAGAGTCTCTTTTTAAATAAGTTCCTCCTTGGTATCAGTAATGCTGTGCAGGGAAAACGCACAAGCCACACTCTAAAATCACATGTATTAAATCATCAGACTAGCAGTTTTCAGCACATGAACCATTTATTTCAGAGGAGTTCATGAATGGTGACTAAGAGGAATGAATTTATATGTGCTGTATGGGAATCTGTGTAATTTATACATGTCCAGTGTGGAATTTGGTCTCCAAATCAACACAGGTTGAAAATTGTTGCACAACAATGAGGTCTAGAAGACAGAGAGAAATCGAAACACTACAACATATATAACCTTCCTGTCCAAAAAGTGTCCTCATGGTTTCAGGCATTCGTCTTAGAATATAATTGCTAGAAACTTAAGGAAAAGATAAAGGAGGAGAAGGGAGTCCCTTTTGACATAATCAAGTAAATCTAGGACTTGGGGATTGAAGAAAAAACTTTAAATATTGAAAGCTCTGAACCAAATTGTAGGAGTAAGCAGTATTTTTCAATTTGCAATGGAATAAATTCAAGAATTTGCTTGTCTTCTCCCTCACTTGGGTGTAACTCAGTCCTACTGAAGTGAACAGAGGTTCCTGTTTTGCATCATTGTATGTGTGAACAGAGCATCAGGCCGTATCATCCTTTTTTTTGCTATTCTTCTCCTGTAAGTGTGCCTGAAAATAAATGAACAATGCGACCAGGATTTGACCAGTAGTGCTGAGTTGTGAGGTTTTTAATAAACTCTTTTAAAAAATGTCATGGAAAGTTTTCTTGTTTAAAATACATTTTAAAGTTACTGCTGCGATTTCTCTAATGCTGTATTTTCTTTGAGTGAAATAAGAGTTGCTGTTATTATAGTGTCTTTGAGGGAGGAAGAGGAAATGCTGAAAGTTTACGGGCTAAGGGAAATGCAACAAGGAAAGACCTATCTCCATCAGAGAGAAGCAAACTTTAAGAGCTGACTTGGGGAAAACAAAGTTATTTTACTGTAAGTCACCCCTTCTCTCTCAAGTACAATAAAGGGAGATAATCGCACCCTGAAACTAAAACATATCCAAGTTAATCAGCTTATCTCAAAAATGAGAAGATAGGAAATTATTGCAGTTCTGCAGCTGGGAAATTATCCGAGTCCAAGATATTAGATTAAAAATTCTTCCATTGCATGAGAACAATTTGTAGTGGATAAGTCTGATGTAATAGTAAATATGATTAGGCTGTTTAAAAAAAGCAGCATGTTCAATTTTCCCAATAACTGAGCGGACTTGCAGCAGACAGACCACTGTTTTACTAGAAACTCCTGACTGTTCCCCCACACTGCATTTTTCCTATGAATCTGTGGAAAAACATGAGGTTTGTTTGCAATAGCCGCGTAAGAGGAAGCAGAAGGGTATACACAGCATGGACTTTCACACATGGATCTGCATGGGCTTCAGAGCAGCAGGTTGCAGAAAAAAAGTAAACAAAACTCTCCTATTAAATCCCAGGCTAATGACTTTATTACGTGACAAATGCACTGAAAACTGAGAAGGCACACGCGCTGCATTACCCTTCCTCCCAAAGAACCGTGGCAAACACTTGACCTGTTGCTATGGCTGTGCTGTCCTTTTCTCCCCCTTTCCCATCCCATTTCTAAAAAGGCAGCGATGCTGTTTTTAAATGTCATTGGCTGTGACATTTGCACGGCTCTGGTCGCCTGGTACTGTACCTGTGTGCACTGTTCCCTACTCAGCTTTCCGGAGAGCAGTGCTCTGCTGCCGCAGCCTTTGGGGCTGGCATCTCTGGTGTTTTGGGGTGGTGGTAGGTGTGTGGTTGGCTGCCTTGTTTTGGTCCTTGGTAGGCGGGATATGCAGTTGCACCCTGCGTTCAGTTGGATGATATGCTTTGGGTCCTTATAACGGCGTGATCATGTGTTGCTTTCCTCCTGTTACTCCTAGCAAGCTCCAGTGATGCTTTTGACTGGCTGTGTGCTTGTATCCCTGCCTTGCATTTTAATGAAAGACATCGCTCTCTTTAGCCCCTCTCTGCTTGGACAGGATACTCTTTGTTTACTCTGTTTGTTTCTGTCTGGCCTACTTGTAGATCCTGGGCTACCCCGGAGCGGCCCATTTCTGCTGAATGGAAGTGGGGGCTGTGTGGGTGCTTTGTCTTGCTTTCAGTTTGGGATCTGGCTGGGCTGTGCTGTTTTATGGCTGATGGGTGGGAGTGGAGAAGCGGGGGGAGTGCAGGGAGGAAGCAGAGAGCAAACACGGTCTTTTTTTTTTTTTTTTTTTTTTTTTTTTATCTTAATGCATTTTACCTTTTCATCCCGCTTTTTCAGACAAGGATGAGCAGAGACCTTTTTTCCTCCATTCAAAAGCCAGGCCGTTGTTTTCCATAGACGGGCAGAAGGGGATGTAAAGGAATCACCTGAGCCTGCAAGGAGGAAGCAGAGAGAAAACACGGTTTTTTTTTTTTTTTTTTTTCTGCTACGCAGCTGCCAAAAGCATCCTTTGACTTCGACGTAAAGAAAAATAAAAGGCAGAGTCCTTGCAGGAAAGAAATTAACCCCATGTCTAATTTTCAGGCTAGCAGTGTGTCAGTGCTTAGAGAAAGAGGCTGCAGCGTTTACTACTCTGGAATTTAATGACACAGCATGTAAACCCAAACAAGGTTGGAGAGAGGCAAATGGTGAGGGGAGCAAAGAGGGGGAGAAAGGGGAAGAGAAGAAGAAAAGCTCTTAGATAGACTGTGGACTGGATTTAATTACAAGAATAACATGGCTTACACTGACAGTGAAAGCCTGCATATGGTTTTGTGTTGCTTCACACAGATAAACGAGAGAGGAATGGGATGGGGAGTATGTGTTTTGCCACTTGATATCTGTCGGAGTGGAACCAGAAAGGGCAGCTGTGGCATCACCAATCAACGTAGCTTTTTCTCCCCCAGTTGGCTGTGTGCATCTGCCGTGGGCTGCTGACTGCCCGAACAGACTTCATGGGATGTCTCAGGTCTTCTCTTATGTCCTGGAAATACCCCCT